CAAACAGCAGCTAGACTTGCCCATGTGGGTTCTTACCTTCTCCCAGGTATGACTTAGTAATTCTTTTTCTGTTACTCTCTGATGCTTTTAAGATTTTTTGTAATGCTCTTGTCAGTATTTTGGTTTCCAATGTATGGGTTAGTCTAAATCAGCAATGCTCAACACAGTAGCCTCGCAGTGGGCACTGGAACCGTGGTTAGTCCAAACTGAGATGCACTCTCAGTGTAAGACTCACACCAGATTTCAAAGACTTGGTATAAAAGAAAGTAAAATATCTTAGTAAATTTTTTCCTACTGATTACAGATTGCAATGATATTTCAGATATACCAGGCTAAATAAAATATATTCTTAAACTTAATCCACCTCTTTTTTGCTTTTCTTCAGTGAGGATGCTAGGAAATTTAGCCCTATCAGTGTGACTTGCATTTTGTTTCTAGTAGGCAGTGAAAATCTAAGTACCCATCTACCACAACTAGGGGGAAAGGCCTCAACTGCACGATGCTTAAGGATAAGGAGCAGATTTTCTGTGTCTGCTGCTGTAGTTCAGGCATTCACACGCTCAGTCACAATCCAAGGTGCTCAGCTTCAGACAGGCAGGAAAGCTGAGGAAACATCAGAAGTCTTCTTTAATCCCAAAACATGTACATAGACAGTATGTGAATTTAAGAGCTGAACAAAGTCCTTAAAAATTACATGTGGACTCGGTACCTATAGTACAGTGGTTACAAAGCCAGTCATAATACACCAAAGGTGGCGGGCTCAATCCCGGCCCAGGCCAGCTAAAAGAATGATGACAACTCCAACAAAAAATAGCCAGGAGTTGGGCAGCCCCTATGGCTCAGTGCGTAGGGTGCCAGCCCCCCATACCAAGGTTGGCGGGTTCAAACCAGCCCTAGCCGAACTGCAACAACGACAACAAAAATAGCCAAGCGTTGTGGCGGGCGCCTGTAGTCCCAGCTACTCGGGAGGCGGAGGCAAGAGAATCACCTAAACCCAGGAGTTGGAGGTTGCTGTGAGCAGTGTGA